TTAAAAAATTTAAATATTAAAAAAATTAGTAAAAATCTTCGCAGACAAATTTGCCTGTGTTACAATTTAAGAGATAGGTTCTGGCAAGCTGCACTTAGAGGAAGTCAACTATAATAATTTTTTTTAAACTTGGCACAAGTTATAATAGTATACTCTCTTGTTTTTTTTTTGTCAATTTTTAGGTTGATTGCTATTTTTTAATAAAAATAGAATTTATTTTTATTAGCTTTTGGCTTTTCTTTTTGTTTTTTTTTTTGTTACATTTTTTTGTTTTTCTTTTTGTTTTCTTTTGATTTTTTTTTTTGTTTATTTTGATTTTTTTTTAGTCATAGCTTTGTTTTTTTTTAATAAATAGTTTTGTATTGTAAATATAAAATTATTACTTTTTTTTCTCTTAATAAAGAAAAAAAAATTGAAGAGATTAGCTTTAAATAGGCTAGCAAAAATTATCTAACTTGTATATAAGTCAGTATGACAGATCACTTCTAAATATAGTTTATTATAGCCAAAAAATATTGGGCTTGCAATTTTAATAAAACTAGTTTGGTTTTTTATTTGTATTTGTCTTAGTAATAATATATATTTAATAAAGGTATTTGAATTTGAGCTTTAACAAAACTATTAAAAAGCCAAATAAAAAAAAATAAAATATTTTTTTTTAAAATAAAAAAACTTTTTCCTGTAGATTCCAAAACACCAAGTAAACAAAACCGAATTAAGAGTTTTTATTAAATTTTAGTGAGTAGATAGAGTGTTTACACTTTAATTAGCCTAGCTGGGAGCAAACTAAGCTCCCAGAAACTACAAGGAATCTACAGTTAAATGTAGAAGTTGAAAGAACTAGAGGACAGGACCTTCATTATAACACTCCTGCCCTTGACAGAGCATTACAAGAAGAGAAAGATGAGTGAAGCACAACCAATAAAGATATTTCTTACAACGGTGGAACAAGAGCACAAGGATACCTGCGAAGAACTTCTAAAATATAATATGAGAAAGAAAACAAAACACCAACACAACAGTAATCTAGAGGTATTTAAGAACGTTGCAGACACTTCTCCACAGCACAGGATACTATGAGTATATTAGAAACAACAATAGAAGCAACAATGCATAGTGGAAAAATTCCCATGGCTGAGAATGAAATCAAGTTTTTACCAGAAAATCTGTACCTCAACACAAACAAACAAATTGATGCTGCATATACACAGAACCAATCTGGATCATCAGAAATGGATACAGAACCTACAGAATCAGAGGCCTCAGAGCAAAGTCACAAGGATGATAATATAGAAACAAAACTGATAGAAGATAACAAGTGCTTAGTGGAGAAAGGGAAATGGTCAGAAGACACAAAACCGAAAGTACTGTTATACAGTCAACTCCTGCTATAGCCACACTGTCTGGCAGAAACTTGATGTGACTATAGTGAGAGAAACATAACAATAGTCATATCATGTGATTATAGCGAGTATTAATTTTATATTACTTTAAATGATTGGTATATATTCTCAAGAAAATGTGACTATTTTGGGTGTGACTATAGCGGGAGTTGACTGTACAAGCAAGCTCTTATAAAAAAAATGAACATTAAAGCCTCCTATCAGAACCTACTAAAGATTTGGACTAAGGCAGTAATAGACTATATCTATGAAAAGCAGGCAACAGGTCTAAACACGGTTTTGTGGAACAATAAAGCAATTGTGGAAGCTACCAAGTTATTAAAGGATTTGAAGGATTTTTACGCCACAAATATATGATGATCCCCACTAAAATGGAAATTCCCCATGCAATAAATATAAAGATTAAATATATAGATAAATATTTTTTTCATACCTTTACAAGAAACCATGAGTTAAAACCAGCATATCAGTTAGAATTTGACCAATTGTTCTATATGATGCAGAATAGGTACAAAAAACAGCACAGGGTACTACAGATTAATAAAACAAACCAGGATCAAATTTTTCGTATGCTAAAGATGAAATTAAGCCTCAATTTTTTACAAAATTATGACATGCTTCAAGCAAGTGCTCATAATAATACATGCTTGGTCTATTACTGCTTAAAATTTGCAAATATTGAACATGAACTTACATTCGAAGAAGTAAGAAGAAAAATGGAAGAGATAGAAACAGATATGAAGGTTGACTTACCAAAATTCCCAGAAGGGATTCCACAAAAGGGGCATAATATTTTACCTTTTGAACTTTTAATTACGGATAGAAGACTCACAAAGCATCTATACAAGCTTTGAAAAAACTATATATTTTCACAATGTTACCTGAAACTTATTTTGATGAGCAAAGAGACCCATTACTAGAGAACCCTAGTGAATTGATACTGGCAGTGGCATTATATTTTCAATTAAAGAAAGAGCGAAACTGACAAACCAAAAAGAATATAGGAAAAGTTTGAATAAGTACTACATTCTGGAAAAAGAGTTACCCAAATCATATTTCAAGCTACCACCACCCAAACCAAGACTACTAGCCACACCACAGGAGTTACACAGGGATATCAGACACATGTTTCCATTTTATCCATATAATCAGGAACATTTTAGAAAGTACGTCAACATTCTAAGAGAATATTATGCCTTTAAGAGAATACCTAATGATTTTATCATAGTAAAAAAAAAACTGCCAAGAGACTCTAATAAGATGTATCTAAAGACAAAATTCATCTTCCTAATTAGCTGCAAAGAGAAGATGTTTAACTTTATTAGCGAGATTCCAGAAGAATATAGTATACTAGCAGCTTTTGTATCAGAATATATGAGTGTAAATCCAATGGACAAACCTAAGCTTCCCCTGGATTACAAAGACATAGAAGAGATCAAAATAGTTATACCATTAACTTCCAGGAAGCAAATAGCTGAAACAGCTAGAAGATTAAGAACCAAGTACTATTTTTACAAAATATCTGAGAACTGAATAGCAATAGAACAAACAATATACAATATACTACAAGAATCAAACAACCTGCCTGACTCAATCGTGGCACTGAAAGAAGAGATAGGAAAGGCACAACTGAAATTAGTAGACAAGATTCCAGTAGTAAAACATAAAGAAACAGAAGCAGTCATGAGTTACCTCTTAAAGAACTACTCCATTAATACTCTCCCCAGCTTTATAAATAAATTACCTGACCTGCCAGAGCCCAATTGGGACATCTTCGAATTCAATAACAATGATGCAAGTTCAAGCAACAAACAATGAAACAACACAACCGACAAATAGCACAATACAAATACAAGGAAAATCTGACAAACATTCTATAATTCGAATTATAAATCACAATGTGCAAGAAATAAATATTGAGTCAAAATTATATTTGTAGCTAGAACATTGCAAAGAAGAAGCGGTAGATATAATAGTAATGACAGAAATGAAGTTAGTGGCATTGGTGTATCCTCTATATTATACAAATCAGTTATACAAAATATACATATCAAACTGTGATGAAGCAACAGCTAATATTAACGAAGCATCCAAGAGTGTAGTTGTTGCTTTAAGTGAAAGAATTCGACAATATGTACACAAGGTAGAGTCGATACCAGGATTAGCAATAAAAGTGGATCACTTCCTTTCTGAAAATAAAAGAATAAGATTAATTGGGATGTATATACCCTCTTTATTAGACGAGACAAATAAAAAAGCTCAATTAGAAGTGATAAACTAGGTAGATAATGCAAAAGCAAAAAATATGCATACTATTATAATAGGTGATTTCAACAAAGATGCAAGAAAGAATATAACAAGGAACAATATACCGTTATTGAAACATATTTGGAATTTAGGTCTAATTAGTCTACTACAATTCACAATGTACAAGAACACACTTGGGCTCGAAGTAAATATAATAGTCAGATAGATGACTTATCCCTTAAATTGTTTTGCAGCCAAATTTGCCTGCAAACTTTTTTAAATTTTAAAATTTTTTAATAAAATTTT